CATCTTTGTCAGATATTGTGGTGTCAGGATTATGTTAGCTCCATTTCAATCAATTCAGAGCACAATCATTCAGCATTTCCCCATATTGCTCTGGAAGATTAAATAAATGAATTTGTTTCCTCTTTGAAAGAACTCACGGTAAACTCTCTAGCTCTGGTGTCTCTCTTTAGAGTGATATTTTAAAGTTCTTTTGTGGTAATTGATCTTTTTGTGGTTTTCACTCGTTGGCAATTTTGGCAATTTGAATATACTCTAGAAATATTGTTTAATGTTGAACACTCCAATTTGTAAAGCATGTCTGTCTCTTTAAATTTCAAAGTACCTCCACGGCTGTGTGTTCATATCCTCTTCAATCTCGTATTTTTATTAATATTTCATGACTAGGCTGATGGTTTATTATTTCAATTTGCCTACTCCCACACTAAAGAACATTCTAGTCTGAATTTATACTACTTCTGGGAGATTATGCTTCTCCTGCCATCCCCATTTTGAGCTGCTGTTTCAGGGCCCGGGTGTGATTCTAGAGAGCTCACGGAGGGGAGGAGAGGCGGTCGGATGGTGCTCAGCCTCTGTGTCGTGCAGAGCACAGGCCAGTGGCTTCCTATCTGGGCCAGGGGCCTTGAGGGTCTGGGGCAGCCATGCCCCGTCTCCAGACGTTGCCTGTGTGCGAGTCCTGGCTCTCTGTGCCGAGGGAACTGGGGCAGTCACCTGACTCTCGCGCCTCAGCTTGCCCTTCACCCTCTGGAGTCATTGTGAGGATGGGATGGGTTATGTTTGGTATAGCATTGAGGACAGGGCCTGGCACATGGCTAGGTCAGAGTAGCTAGTGTCATTATCTCGTACCCCTGGGGTCTTCTTCTTCCCTGTTCTCCTGGGAGGTACCTGTGGTCCCCACTCCAAGGCCAGAATCCAAAGTGGTTCCGAACCCAGCACATGGAGGGTGGCTGCGGATGTTCGCCCAGCGAGGAAAAGGAAGGAGCGGGTCAGTAGGAGGTGGTGGAGGCGGGCGGGAGGAAGAGGCTGGAGAGCTTCCCCTGACTATGCTCTGCTGGTGTAAGGACAGTGTCTGGTGCTGGCAGTGCTGCAGGGAGGGCCAACCTGGGCACATGGCTGCGTGGTCCTCGTGTTCAGGCTTTGCAGGAAGCGCACACACCACTCGTGGGACCAGTGATGAGCCAGTGTGGGTGACCTGGGGACTGAAGACCGCAGCCTCTCTGATGTTCTGGGTCTTTTAAGGCTTCCAGGGTGGGAGTGATGCTCAAGAATGTTGAATTTCCCCCTGGTAGCCGGGGGGACTCAAAGCTATTATTTGATTGAAAAAAAAATGCTTTTAAGAAAGTGATTCAATACTAGGGTCAATGGGGGACCAGCATCCTAACCTGGCCTCTGCTTCCCACGCGTTGCGTTTTTTATTTGCGTCTTCTAGGTTTCTCATCCTGCTCAGTGAGTTCCGCTTGTTCCAGGGTGCGTGTGTCATACGCACCTTGGGTCCCAGGACCTGGCTGTTCTCCTAAACGCGGGCACAGGCCCTGCGAGGCTCCTGGGGGGCGGGCAGCGCCTGGCACCCCTCTGGCCAGCCAGGCAGCCCTGAGCCACAGTCACCGCGCGTGTGACTGGGCCGGGGCTGCGGGAGGTGTGCGCTCCCAGCGCACGCTGTGGTGGTGTGGGCAGCCGCGGGGCAGGCCGGCCCTGGGGGAGCAGCAGGGCTGTGTGGTACCCGAGGGCCTGGCCTGGGAGCAGAAGCAGGCCCGCCCAGCGCCCCAGGGGTGCTGTCCACAACCCCATTCTAGGAGCGAACAGGGAGAGCGGGCCTCCCCCGGAGTGCCCAGGTTCCTGGCCACGCGCGGCCGTAGGTGTGTCGGGAGTGAGGCAGGCGTGACGTGCACGAACCAGGCCGAGAACATCCCTCAGAGAGAGGTCGGGGGGCAGGGGCCCAGGTTCCTCTCTCTCCGGGGTTAGACTTTGGGAGGCCTTGTTTCATTGAATCTGTGGATATTGTTACAGGCACCATCTGAGACGAAGAAGCTCTGCATCCGAAGGTCAGGCAGGAACACAGCCGGCTGCCCTGCGCCTCCTTACGGGGCTTCCCTAACACAGCCTACCAGGCTCAAAGCGTGGCCTTTGTGGGCGAGAGGGGAGCAGGATGGGTGGATGGTAGCCTGCAGCCCTGGCAGGGTGCTGCTCGGCTAGGGCGCCACGGCACGGCGCCACAGGACTGAGCAGGGGAAGGCACAGCTGTGGCAGATGGTCTGGCCCGTCATTGTGCGGGCCGCACAGCCCCCGCCCGCCCGGGACCCGGGCGCCCGCTCCCATCGGTAAGCCTTCTGAATGGTTCCAGGCCAGCTCTGGCACTGGCCCACTTGAAGCCCCGTTAGTACCCCAGCAGGATAACGGGATGACGCCTAGCCCTTGCGGGCGCAGCCTGCAGTCTCCTGCTCGCCGCCTCGTCTGGGCTCTGTGGCAGTCCCCTGCTGCGCCTCCCTTCCTTCTCCACTGCCCAAGCCCTCCTCCCCTTCTGGCCAGTCAAGGAGTCGCACTGGGGCCCAGGGTGCCAGCCCTTGGACAGGTGGGGGATGAGGCCCACTGGAAGGGCAGTCAGGGCCCCGTCCCTGCATTTGCCCACTTCTCTCTGTCCCTCTCTGTCCCTCCTGCTTCACTTAGCAGACCCTGTGGCAGACCAAGGGAGGCCACCTAACGCCACGTCTGGGGAGCGGCAGGGTGGTGCGCTCTCAGCACGTGGCTGCGCAGGAAAGGAGACGGGAGGGATCTGGGCAGGTGACCCAGGCTGTTGCAGCCAGGTGGTTCCTCCGCCGTGCCGAGGTGCACTGGTGGAGACTTCGGTCTGTGCAGCCC